TCTACGTTCACGATGGAACTGGAAAAGAGTGGAACAAAAAAATCAACATAAACGTTAAACAATAAGTTCTGCCGCTGATCTTCCATGTTACAGTGTTACAAATTCAGCTATCGCATTGCTAAGCGCTGTGAATACGTAAAAAAATTAGCCGGTGAATTACTGATTCAAAGCTGAGAACCTAGAGTTCTGGACAGAAATAAATACGAAAGAAAAAAGAAGTTAGACCATTTACTAGACATTTAAGTATGACATATCATTTATGGTTAATGGCCCATCGCTGATACTGCAGATGTTGATAATTTATTTTCAAGGCGTTTCGCCACGCATGCCGCGGCATCGTCAAGCTACAATTGTTATCAGGCAGGTAGACCCCACACGTACATATGAATGCCTCGGTTTAACGTGAGTGACAGGTTGCCTCCAGACGTCAACCAGCGTTTGCACAACTCTGACAAACAACTAAACCCTGATTGGTCCGTGTCCACTAGACATTTATTAAAGTACATAGCGATTCTGTGTCAGAGCTGATCAAATGACCATTGTCGATGCGTGGTTTGGATTACCAAAGGGCGTCGAAACTACGTGTCAAGAAAAATTCGTTTGTCATTTAGTTGAGTAACAATCAAGCATCAGCAATCTGAGAGAGAAAAAGAACATAGCCCGACATTGCTGGATAGCTTCTAAAAATGGCAGCTTTCCAGTAAATGTCATATTTCAAATACTCCTACCGGACTTACATGCCGAAAACATGCTTTCGTACCTTCCACCGATGCGACGGTACTGTAACACAGAGGGAAGCATTTACACCAGGTTGCACCGCCACACTGCACTGTACCTTTGTTCTACTCGCTTAGGGCGATAATATAAGCAAGCCACGATTCCACAGGGTTTGAACGCCTGCTATACATAGGATGCACGACCGCGTCACTGAGTTGGGTTAAAAAGGGGTTTGTTCAAGCACAAACACGACTGCTACTATCTATAGGCAAATACAAATAATATGAAATAAAACACAGCTGCGACGGAGGACTGGCCTGCTTAAATGATCCCACTAGGCGACCAAGAGCAAGGGGTTAGTATGATAATGTGGAGACACAAACTGTAAATACTTCCATCGGCCTTACTCTACCGCGGTATCGAGGTAAAGTAAAACGCATTTTTTTCTTTACACCGTACGTTAAAGAAGTGCAAAGCCGGTGTCAGTATTCGATATATCAACAATTTGACTTTATGAAGAAGTTCCCCAAAATATAACCGCAAGTGGGCATCGAAAGAATACAGCCAATAGGCAACAGGTTGTGACAAGTAACGAAAGAGACTAGACTTCTGCAATATTTGGCAAGACAACATGACAGGGCGGCGAGAATTACGATGTAAGGCAATTATCCTACAGGATATGACACTGACATTCTGATCAGATTGGAAAGCCCTTTTACTGACGGGAACTCAAATAACAAAAAATACAAACCTAAAATGAGATGATCGTTAAAGCATCAACTGTGATTCTTGGCGGTATGCAGCTGCATTACCTGTCTACCTCCAGCGACTCCAACAACCGAACGTCGTTTTTCAGATTCATTATTTTCACCTTCTTCCAATAGTCTTCGTTATCGTACCGAATCACGTACAACGTGAACAAGTTCGGATATATGAGAGGAATGAACGCATTCTGCAAGAACTGCTCCGAAAAATGAAGTTCACTGTAAAAAAGCAGCTGAGTTTGGTCTGCTAAAAATCGCCTTCAATCATGTGACGCACTTTGAAGAGTACTCATTTTCTGACTCCACTTTTACGTATTCAGCGCACATATCTTCAGCAGGCAAATTTGGGAAGAGGCACCTAGGAACAATCATAAAGTAGAGTAAAGACAAAGTACGACGGAATGTCACAAAACAAGACACCTCAACAACTTGTAGATTCTTCTTAGCACGGAACGGATCTCTGCTAGAGCAGCAGGTAGCAGAAGGGAGTGTGCGCCGGCGCCACTGTAACTAGCATTGAAAACGTCTGCCAAGCCATGCAACAGAACGCTAAACACGTGGTACGGAACACTACATGCCTAAAAAGATCATTTCAGAATCACAAATAAAAAGAACAAACGAAGAATACCGAACGAAAATAATCTTCGACCATTTTTACGAACTTGTCGTTGAACGGAGAGTGGAATGCCGGCACGTAATCGATCACATCTGATGGGCTAAAACACGAAATCTAAAATTTAAATAAAAAACTCACAAAACAACAACAATCAAACTATTGAATATACCTTGAACACTTTAGGCATGAAGTAGAACTGACAGTAATCAATCACATGAGTGTTCGTAGTATGTACAAGATATAACAAGTGTTTTGTGCAATGGGCTCGAAATGTATGTCTGTAACAATGACATCTGGACTCATAGAGATATCAGTTTCCAACAACCTTGTCATGTATACCGCCTCTAATCATATACCTTTTAAGGGTTTGGAAAATTCTGCGTTAATTAGTACTTCAAACTTTTAATTTATGGCTTGCAACCGCTCTTTGCTAACTGCTTATTACTTTCAGGCCGCGAATAAATTTTAGAAACGAGATTTGTCCACCCGTTATGTATTAGTCGATGTTTAACGTTGTAGAAAAACTACGGTTTAACTAAATTTGGTAAATACGCTCTACCGAAACATACACTTCATACATACAGACAGTATGATCTGTTGATTCATG